TGCAGGGTCGTGGATTTTTTTTCTCCAAATCAAAGTTTTGAGATTTCACTGTATAACAATATAAAATTCTGCCAAGAATTTTTATTTCTGTATAGTAGATAGGATAAAAAATGTCTTTCAGATTATTTAGTTCTGTTCCACGTTTGATTAATCCTACATATTCCTTTCTCAGAGCACCCATTGTTAGAACAGCCGGTTTCCATGCAAGTATGTAAAAGTTTAAAAATGTGCTCATATGTCAGATATTTTTTGTGTTATAGGACATATTCATGTTTAGTAAAGATCCAATTAATTTAAAAATTATTTAGGTCGTGCTTGTGCATTTAAGATTACTAAACCTGTCAATGACGGAGCCAGTAAGACAGCTTTACTAAGTTTTGTTTGTTAAGTAATTAATTGAGTTCAGGAAAATAACGAATTTCTTTAATAATAAAGCTTTCGTCAAAGGATCAGTTAATGAAGCAGTAGTGCTTCCCCAAAGAGACAAAGTTGCGGGATCTTATCATTGGGATTTCGATCGTTTATTGTCGGCAGCATTGGTCCCACTTACTGTGGCATCGGTGATTAATGGAGCACATCCAATCACTGACCTTTGCCTTGGTGTTATTCTTCCAATTCATTGTCATATTGGTTTCGATGCTGTTATCACTGATTATTTACCATCTCGTAGAACTCCTATCTGGAATAAGGTAACAACCTGGGGTCTAAGAGGTGCTACTTTGATTGTCCTTTATGGTTGCTATGAATTCAATACCAATGATGTAGGTTTGACTGAAGTTGTCAAGAGAATGTGGCACGCATAACGCCAAAATACATTGAATTTTACAAAATTTGCATTTATTTTTTATTATTTAAAAATACACAAATGATTGAATGAATATGAAATTATTGTTAATACATTGTAGGCTAGTAATCAAAAATACATTGAAAATGAATGGTTAATAAATTGTATAAAAAAAATAATAAAAATGAATTTAAAAGTTATATTTACCATATTAACAGCAGATTTTGTATGATTTACATCTTCATGTCTCCATAAGGCAGTTACCGTTTTATATTGTGTATAAAATTGTAAACCAGATTTTCCATCTTTTTTGAGATTATAAAAAAGAAATGAGAAAAAGTCAAAAAAATATTTTTAAAAGCCACCTTAAAAAATCATTACTTACAAAAATTAACATCTCCTTGGATAGAAGCGCGATTTCCAGTGAATGAAAACATCGGCAAAGGAACAGGAATAGGTACATTAACTATAAATAAAAATGATGAGCAACATATCATATGCTTGTACGTATTAGTTAATTATAGGACTTACTGCCAACTTGTCCGACTTCAATATTATGTATGAAATATCGAGCGTTGCTTCCATTATTTGTGAAAATAGCTGTTCCATTTCCATAAGGATTTTTGTTGATCAAGTCAATTGCTTCGTCTAATGTATCAACGCCTAAACAAACAAGGACTGGTCCAAATATTTCCTCCTAAAACCATAAATGCGAAATGATTAAATTAAAAGTTTCTTTTCTTTGTTAAAGAAAAAAAGGTTTTATAATTTACTTTGTAACAATCCATATCTATAGTAACATTAGACAAAATGGTTGGCCCAATAAAATTTCCATTTTTATATTTGTCAGGAACTCTCGGAT